TCTTCCTACATGTGCAAGGTGAAATCTTTAATTTTCCAAGCGCACCTGCTCTTAATAATCTGGCATCTCTGCAGTTCAATTCCTGGCTAGAATTATTATTCCGGTGACATTTTTGCACTTCTTATGAAAGTAAATACTGGGGGAAATAAAGAGAGAGTAAGTGCAAAATTGAAACATGCTTGAATGAAAACTGAATGAAGCTGGAACAGTGTCCTGGTGACCTTTTCTAATTGAGTGGCATGAAACTTTTGGATGGGGGTCACGCTGTATGACAGTAGATGGCATTTAAATACACATGAGGCATTAGATTGATATTCGGATTTTAAATGAAATCCATACAGTATTAAAAGTAGCTGAAATGCAAAATCAGCACATGGTCCCTGTGGCACTTCCACAAGGTGGAAATCAAGACCACTGTCATAAACCACTAAAAGGAAAAATAAGACACTTCATGATTTTTGTGAATTGCAACAGACCAGGAGCTTAAATTCCAAGTACCCTTAAGCTACAGTGTACCATTGTGCCAGTCCTGTCCTCTATGAATTGCATTTGTAATAAAAATAAATAGAAAAAGAAATTACTCGGAAGGAAATGTAACACAGTGATTATACTTCCTATCAGCATAATGAGGAAACACGGATAATTTACACTTTTAGATCCATCCATTTTCTTACATGTACTCTGCTAACACAGAGAAACACAAAACCATTAGCACTCACATTAACACCTGTTTAGAATTTAGAATCACAGAACAACCTAAGAATCAGGTTTTTGGACTGTAGGAGGATGCTGGAGTACCTGTAACAGGAAAAACTTGCAAACACCAAACAGAAAAGCCCCAGGTGGCCGGTGGAGTCAAACAAGATTCAAGCTCTTCTTGCTCTGTGACTAACTGTTTGGCCACATTTAAGATTAGTTATTAATAACTAATCAACTGCCATACGTTTTGCCTCACGTGTATACTCGTGTATATCAGTGATATATGCTCTTCAACTCTCAAAGACTCTAACATTAATAAACTTTTCTTTTTTTCTTCCTGCTGGTGTTTATGAACTCATAGCACTTAATTAAGCTCAGAAATTATGGTGTGGTTTAATAAGAAGCTGAAGTGCCTCGAGGCTATGAGCAGTTATTTAAGATCAAAATTAAAATGTTTTACTCCAACTGCAAACCTGCCCAGCCAGTCACTCTACTCATTTTATTTACCTCGTCTATCTCTAGCGGCACCAGTTCATCTGTACCAATGAAAAAAAGTTACTTTAAGCTTGGCCTGTTCCAAATTTAACTACCTAATGTGGACTACAGTAAAATATAGGGGTTTGTGTGTCCCAGTGATCCCAGTGGCTATGCTGTCACAGGGCCTTTGCCCCCTGGCAGGGTTACCCATGACAAACTGCTCCTGGGTGAGGGACCAGACAAAGAGCGATTCAAAAGACCCCTATGAGTAGAACATTGAGGGAACAGGATAGGGTGAACTAGAGCCAGGCCCGGGGAGGGTGCCCAAAGGGTAGCATCTAGTGGCCGGGTCACTAGGCCGAGCCCAGCTCAAAAAAGGGACATGGGCCCATTCTCCAGTAGGCCCACCACAGTTATGCGGAGGCGCCGTAGGTCATGGGGTGCAATGTGAGCAGAGGCCCTGGCGGACCAATCCCTGACTACCAAAACTAGTGATTGGGACATGGAATGTCACCTGCCTGATAGGGAAGGAACCCACTGCACTGAGCTGCAGCCTCAAGGTAGTTGGTGCCTGTTATGGTGGTAACCCCCAAACCAAATGGTGGACACCAGTGGTGAAGGGAGCGACCAGGCTGAAGAAGTAGTCCTATCGGGCTTGGTTAGCCTGTGTGACTTTGGAAGCCCGCTGATAATACCGACAGGCCAAGTGGAACTCAGGTGTGGGAGGAGTTTGAGGAAGCAGAGTCTGGGAACGAGGGGGACAACTCGTCTATCTCTGGGGATGAGATCACTGAGGCAGTTAAACTCGGTCCCTGGTGGCAGGGCCCCTAGGGTGGATGAGTTTCTTCGGGAGTATGGAGTGTCTAGCCCTTTGCTACAGGCCATTTGATCCTTATACAACAGGAGGTTTGGTCCGCATAGCCGGCAATTAGTCAGACTCATTTGCGGAGGGTGGTGGACTCTGCCAGGCTGTCACAGTGGCGCTCTCAGAATCTCATCTCTGCTTTTCACAGATGATGTGATTCTGTTGGCTTCATTGGGTGATGGCCTCCAGTTTGCACTGGAACGGTTCGCGGCCAAGTGTGAAGCGGCGGGAATGAGAACCAGCACCTCCAAATCTTAGGCAATGGCCCTCAGCCTGAAAAGGGTGGAGTGCCCATTCGTCAGGGACAAGTTCCTGATCAAGTCTTGTTAACGAGTGACGGAAAAAGGGAGTGGGAGATAAACAGACAGATTGATGCTGCCGCTGCAGTTATGCGGAGGCTGTACTGGTTCATCATGGTGAAGAGAAAGCTGAGTGTAAAAGCTCGTCACCTATGGTCACAAGCTGTGGTGTCATGGTTCTCAGGATCTGGAAAGGGTGTGGATTGTTTTTGTCTTTGCCTCTCCCACCAGGGCGGAACTGAACTTTGCTTCCCCACCTCTGAACCCGCCCTAAACGCACACCTAAGGCTTGTTCACGCTGATTCTGCTCATCAGGAGTATTATTCCTGGCAGACTACATAAGACGGCAGGAGATGCTGCTTCCTCACTGGTTATCACACTACCTAGAGTCAGTGTAGCCTAGCCTCTTGAGTATCTTTTGTGATTTCCCAGAGTTTCCTCCTAACGCCATTTTCCTTTGTGTACAGGCTTCTCGGATTCCCTGCCTGTCTCTCCTGCAGCCTGCATTCCTGTGCATGTGTGTGAGTGAGCAAGAGCGCTCTGGGAGCAACCTTCCCTCACCCTCTGACCTACCCGATGACAACACCCCCCACCCCACGGAGTACCATGTTACCTGTTCCACTGTACATATATACAGTGAGTATATGTATATCACAGACTGTGACATGTGGGTAGTGACGAAAAGAACGAGATCGCGGATACAAGTGGCAGGAATGGGCTTCCTCTGAAGGGTGGTTCGGCTTGTCCCTTTGATATAGGGTGAGGAGTTCGGCCATACAGGAGGGACTCAGAGTAGAGCCGCTGCTCCTCCACATCCAGACGAGCCATTTGAGGTGGTTCAGGCATCTGACAAGGATGCCTCCTGGGTCCCTCCTGGATGAGGTGTTCCAGGCATGTCCCACCAGGAGGAGGCCCAGACTCAAGACACACTGGAGGGATTATCTCTCAGCTGGCCTGGGAATGCCTTGGTGTTCTCCTGGACCAGCTAGAGGAGGTGGCCAGGGACCCGGCCTCTGACTGACACTTTATGCACGTACTAATAGAGCAATTGGACCCTGTTTTAAACACTGTGTATCGTAGCAATCTATGCGAATCCATGAAGACCATTTTGTTAACACACTAACTCCTAAACAAAGTTTTATACTCAAATATAAAGGGTTTTATTTTCAAATGTAAGCGTATGCATACTGAACAATGCAAACTGAAAAATTATGCATGATGCAGATTTCTTGTTATTCCATTATTTCATTCTTGGGGAGAGCACAGCTGTTTCAGCAGGCAGCCATCATCAGTGCCACCAGATTTGGGATAGGCTTTTTGTTGTTTGCAAACAATAACTGTCTGAGAGCAGCAACTTAAAATTCATTATTTGTTTTCTCCAGGATTGTTTTTGTATTTGCATGTGCTATCAACCCCTTGAGGAAAAAAAAGAGGAAATGTTTTGGTGTTGACTGAGCATCTGGTTTTGGTATTTAAGGATGTGGTTGCAATCCTAACCCCTCAGTAAAAATAGCTTTGCTTTCTTTTAATCAGGGTGCAGAGGAAGATGTCATGTTTTAATTTCCTATTTGTTTTCACTCATTTCCTCCCTCTTCCCTGCTTCAAATGCTGTTATCTGCGACACCCGCCTCCCTCTACTGTGGTCTTTTCATTTCTCCATAGACAGCCTTGTAAGTGTGCACATGCTGACATTTTGGGGACAGGATTACACAGGCAGACTGACGCTTTCAGTGATGGCCTTGAGTAATGTTGTCACAAATTGAGACAAGTGTCAACCTGTATAAATTCATCACAAAATTAACACTCTGAGAAAAACAACATTCCCGTTAGTGTGTACGTGCGTATATATTCTGTAAGTAAAAAGGATAAATGAGGCATCTCTTCACTATTGACTTCCCATGACCCTCAAGTGCAGTGTGACGCTTCAGCACTTGCAGTTGACTGAAATAAATGTCTTCTCTGGTAAGAGCTTGAGATCAGTTATGCTGCCTTCAGCGCTCGAGAGGAGAAAAGCACTCTTCGCTTTAAAGGACACTGACATAAGATAAGATAAGATAAGATAAGATAAGATAAGATAACCTTTATTAGTCCCACACGTGGGAAATTTGTTTTGTCACAGCAGGAAGTGGACAGTGCAAAAGTTATGACGCAAAAATTAGAATACAATAAGAATAAATACAGTACACAGCTGTACAGAATAGAATAAAATAATATACTATATACAGTAGAATAAAATAGAATAAAAATATACAATAAGATAAAAATAGAATACGAATGCTATATACAACTGAGTAAAAATACAACGATGCCAGAAAGGATTATTGCACTTGGTGTTATTGCACATGTGTGGATGTGTGTGTTTGTTCAGTTAAAGTCTTTGTTGTGGAGTCTGACAGCAGTGGGGAGGAAAGACCTGCGAAATCTCTCCGTCCCACACCGTGGGTGCCGCAGTCTCCCACTGAAGGAGCTGCTCAGTGCTGTCACAGTCTGCTGCATGGGGTGGGAGACGTTGTCCAACAGGGATGACAGCTTAGCCGCCATTCTCCTGTCACTCACCACCTCCACTGGGTCCAGAGGGCATCCTAGAACAGAGCTGGCCCTTCGGATCACCCTGTTCAGTCTCTTCCTGTCCCCAGCAGAGATGCTGCCGCCCCAGCAGACCACACCATAAAAGATAGCAGAAGCCACCACAGAGTCATAGAAGGTCTTCATGAATGACATGAATGATTCACTCCATCATTGATTATTTCACCGTGTCCTGATAATAAACATCCAATATGGTTCTCTACAGTGAGCAGTAAATTCTAGACAATACTCAATCAAACTCTCTTTGCATCAGCATTGACATGTGTTAGAGCTACATCACAGCAATTTACTTTGTTGTATCACAAAACAAAAGAGCAGCTGAACAAAAGCTTTTTGTTTGCCATATTAAGTGGGATCATGAACTAAAACTCAAACAACTTCCTGTTTTAAATTTGTCTATTTTCCCCTTGATGATCACATGTTTGTGCACTTTTGAACTACTTCCTGTTTCTGCTTTTACATTATTCAGTGAAAGTCCCATTCTGATCGGTTACCACGGACTCAAACAGTGAGCAAACCTCAACTTCTGTGTCAAACTAACCCAACTTTTCATGTCAAGGATCATTGCTGTTGATAAGAGCTGGGTCCCCAGTTACAATCCAGAGGCTTAGCAGCAGTCTTCAGTCTATATTGTCCAATCCCAAAGGCAACAGGAGTGTTTTCTCCTTCTTTTTTTCCAACATTTGAGGGGTTGTGAACCTTGAATTCATCCCCCAGGTTCAAACTGTCAGTTCAGAGTTCTAACTTCTGTTGTGTCTCCTCTGTGTTGTCGTAGTGCACACAGTACATGAAAATGTGTTTGGCCTCAAGAGCTCAATTGTAGCTTGCTCACCAGATTTGCCTCCCTCTGAATTTGTCCTCTTCTCCAAAATGGAATCCAAATTATAAAACTGCCATTTGGAACAATCTAGAAATAACATCAATGCTCAGTCTTACATTGCTACCCAAAGAGACCACCTTGAAGTGGTTATCAGTCAAATCTAAACCCGTTTTTGTAAGGCAGAGAATTTATCGAGCCTGTTGTCTTTTCTAAAATTTGATATTTTTTTTTAACCTAAATTGCAACATGAGTTTTTTTAAACAATATTTAATATCATATTTGTTAAGTGGATGTATACACACTTGTAATTGATTGAATCCATTAGTTAAAAGACGGTTTGTTGTTTCTGCTCCTGTGATTAAAAGGAAATGTAACTTTTTTTATGCATAACCTTTTTACTCTTCATGAATTTTTAAAGTTTAAAAAAAAAATTTTTTTAATATAAACAAATCTCAAAACAGGAGACGTCTTCAGATTTCTCCTTTTTTCAAAGACCCCCAAATATTCAGTTAGCAGCACATAATGCAAACATTATAGCTGATACAACTCCACAAAGTAGAAACACATTGATATTAAAAGAACCTGCTAAATTTCATTTTTTTTACTTTGTCTTGTCTTGTAATGTAATATCTATTTGCTCTACTAGAAAGACATGTTGCTAGGAAACAAAATTCCCTTAAACCTTAATAGTAATAATAAGTCAGTGCTACAGAAAGTTCCTTTCTAGCAGGTAATGCGAAGTGATTTCTGAATTGTAAGAGTTAAACAAACTGATTATTAGGACATTTCAATAAAAAAAGACACCTTCATATATTTGGACTGAGCTAGAGACTTAAAAAGGAATAGATTTTTATAATGTATATCAAATGGAAAGGCTGATGACAGTCAAAATCACAAAAAGCACAGGGGAAACAACCAAATTGCACCATGGGTGGAGGTAAAAAAAAAAATAAAAGAAAGAAAAACATTCATCAAATGCAGGTGTTTGTTTGGATGCTGCAGTTTGGATTTGCAAAAGACAAACCTGAACCGAAAAGACAAGAGAACAAACAGTCGGAGCAACTGGAATGTGAAAAAGTACATCACGCCAGCCATTGCAAACAAGTAAACATGTTGCCCCACAAATGATGTGGAATGGTAATGGGGCAAGAAGTTGAAAATGTGTTACCTCATGTTTCTCACACACCAGGGTAAGGAGGGAGACGATGCAGTTTGGTGCAGGTAACAAAATGTGATGATTCACTTCTGTGGCCAATCAGCGCAGTTTGAATAGAGCAGAAAAGATGAATGAGACGTGTCGTTCCCCAAAAGCAGTGATAAAATCTGATTGGTCCTGCAGATTGTGTTTCAGTGAGTGACAAAAAGATGAGCTGCCAGTGCCCTCGCCTGATTTTATCATAGAGGACAAACAAAAAAAACCTAGACTGTGTCACTGGTCTGATGTTGGTCTGATGCTGCTGTCTATCCATCACGGTCAGCTCTGAACCAAGAATCAGAGCATCCTATGTTGTTTCCTGGAAATAGATGACAAAATAGTTTGTGGACACCTGCAGTGGAAGACAGTCTGAAAAAATGACACCGGAGCGGATATATTAGTCTCCTACTGATCTCATTTACAAAGTGATTGGTTTTGTGTGATGCTTACGTGTCCTGCTGAGATTCACAGACTGTGGCACACCCAAGAGTGAATTCCTCTTTGTCACATCCTCCTCACTCAGGCATGCTTTGTGAATAGCAATCATACAATAACAAGAATCTTGTTATTGCTCAAAGACTGGGCAGAGATTCAAGCTCGGCACAAGTCAGCAAGTGCACAGAGTTTATGTGGTAAAGTCTGCAGTGAGGGGGTTCTACTTTGAAAGCTTTAGACATACACCTTCTTAAAACGATGAATTAATATCTGCTGCCGGTGATGCTATTTGTTAAATAACATTCATCAACACGAGACTTTTTTAAAAGAAGCATAACCAAGATTTTTATGGTTATGCAATATGGAGACCATCCCTGCCAAGAAGGATAGGTGTTGATTTCATTTTACTAAATACTAAATATGCAGATGGATGAATACGGTACAGAAATATTTGGCTGGAAGTCTGGTCATGATTGGCTTCTGTTGCATACATTTTTCTTCAAAAGACTTCTTTAAGATACCACAAATAAAATTGTTTCCTTCCTTTAAACAATTAAAAAGTAACATGACCATTCTGAAACATGCGCTACTTATATTCAAGTTTTCACTGGACCTGCCGTCCCTGCAGCAAGGATAACAATTAAAGATGCATGAAAGATTCTCACTGTTGACACAGCAAAGACTTTGATAAGAGTAATAATGCAGCGCTTGACACCGCATAAATCGCATTGCATTTCTACCCGTTTCTTTTGTACTGTTTTTGTACTTGCAGAATTGCAGTTAGATTTAGGTAGCATCTGCCTGACCTTGTTTTACTAATGAACCGTGCAGTCACTGTGTTTTTGTTCTTTCATCCACCGTAGAAAGGCCTAATTGTGTAGAGGTGAATGTTTGCAGAGGAAGTGTCTTAAATGTGTGTTCCTGAAAAGGAAAAGACGTGTTAACCCTTTTCCCACTTACCTTGTGTCATCTTCACTTTAGCTTATCACCGTTAGACTCTGACTGTAGTTATTGTGTTGACATAGAACATCTTTGTACCCTAAATGAAGGTTCAAGGGGTGCAGCAGAGTTCTAGAGTCAATCCAAATAACTTCTTTAGCTTCATTCCCTATTGCCGAGTAGTGCTGGGCTACTGGATGTGTCATTCTTTTGATTCTTTTTCTTTCTTTAACTCTGTTCAGCATAACTGCTGAGTAGCTTAACATAGTTTGTAACTCATTGTTTTTTGTCGTGTTGGGCTAAAGCAGTCGGACGAGATTTTCCGTTATGAATGGTGAAGGCGAAAGTGCCACTGTGACCTAGCGTTGCACGGTCAGTGTTAAGTACTGCGCAGCAAAGCTTCAGAGTGGAAGTTTCCTTTCCATATCTGTCAAATTTCTGAAATAACAAGCTATCCTGGAGCCAATGGTCTGCTGCACCAACACCACCACACATTACAGGTGTACCATGATCACAGCACATATGACCAGCATGGGTTACACAAACCTGTTTGTTCACTTAGAGGCTTCCGAGCATCCTTCATCTGATGAAATCATTCACATCCTTTGGCTTGTGGGATTTGTTCAGTTTAAAACTAATTTTGGTGATTATTCTTTGGTTGTTGCTGTTGGATTCCAAACGAATCCATGCCTATAAAGCTGTTGTTTTTTCCTCACACCAAATGGTGTGTGAAAAAAAATGGTACGCTTTAAATATAAAACCGTTTACATTATTAAATCCCACATTTGGCAGTCTGGCAGAACACGAGATTCAAACACGCATTTGCTCGTGGCCAAAAACGCCACACGACACTTTAAACATTGCATAATGCTTCCAGATTTCTTTTATTCTTATCACCCTCTGCAATTACAGTACTTGATTAAAACATTTCTGCTGCACATTCTTGGTAGCTGTGTTTTTGGATGCAGATCTGAATTCACATCCAGGTTTTATGTTTCTGTGCTTTTAGTATTAATACATTTTGTGTCTTGTTCACCTTTGAATGGGGTGAATGTACCTCTTAAGTGCTTACAAGTAGCACAAAAACAAATTAAAGAGGAACCACAGTTGCTTTTTAATTTACCTGCATGCTCCCCACTGTTTGCATCGCCGTTCTGACATCAATCAACCGGCATCTTGTTTACCTCCTCTTAGTTCTTGTTGATATTTTGATTGCTTTTTATTTTTAACTTCCTCCGTTTATCATAAGTATTCATAATCTATGCCCTTCCAGACAAAAAGAAAAATGTATTTCATCTTGTCATTTTCAGATAAATCATTATAGCAGAAACAAAAAGGCAAAACTACAAGGTGTTTGTATTTATTTTTCTTTGTTTCATAGTTACTTTGTTTATCAGAGTGTATTGGCTTTTTCCCTCAAATCAATTTACAGAAAAAAAGTGTTTGAAGCAGAGGTAGCACCGCTACACTGCCACTCACCATGTGTCATCTGAGTGCCGGGTCTTATCTGTGACCTTTTCTCAAGGCCCCTGCTCTGAGATTCTATCTGCTTCATGAAAAAGGGACAAGTGGGCAGTTTAAATTTGATCTGAAATTGCTTTGATATTGTCTTAGTCTTTGAATGGTTATGCCGTCAGGGAGTGTCGTTGTTTTCTCTTTACCCATTTCTCTCTTTCTCTCTCTCTTTTTCTTTCTGTATAGGCGATTTTTCATTTTTCTATCACTAGCTCGGCAACTTTTTGTTTTTCGCTGTCCTTCACATTCTTTTGTACCTATGTGACTTTGTATTTCATTGCCCGGTTTGTAACATGTTCACAATAAACAGAGTGGTGACAAACAAGATTTTCAGGCTATGTAAATACTTGCCAATAGTATTGTATCTGCACAACTAATAATAATTTGGCACCAATTTTCTGTAGGAGAAGAGATTTTCTCATGTATTTATGAATTATGAGAGTTTTCTAATGTCTGTACTGCCGTTTGTTTTTTTTAAAGGAAACAAAAAAGAAAGCTAGAGAAGAAAGACAGCAGGCAGATGAAGGACTGTGAAGAATGAACAGGGAAATAGCAAATGAAAGCTTGAAGATGGTGAGGGATTTTCTGGAAGTGATTGGCTTGGCTGTCTTTGTGGTCTGTGGTCTCAGGTTTTTATAATCCCATCCTGTGATGCTCTAATCTCCCTTTTCTTTTGTACACAGTAAATAGCCTCATTACATGGGGCAGAGCTGACGATTTGTTATAAAAATGGAAATGAAGAGCCAAGAAAAACCCTTTATTAAATACTTGCCTTCCTATACGTACCCTGTCAGGCCACTGGCACCCACACGATTACCATAAAAGATCATCTCAGAACAGCGCGTGGGAACCGATGGGCTCACTGAGCAACTTTGAGGCACTTGTGAAACAGCGAAGCAAACAATGGTGGTTCTGGATTTTCACACCCCACCTTCCTGTCAAGATGCTTTTTGTGGGCTATAATTAAATGGGAGAATTAACAGTTATTGTACATTTGATCCTCTGGGGAATTAGGTCGCTGATTTTCTTCTTCTTTTTTTATCTGCTCCATTTTTAACTTACAGTGAACCACAATTGCTCTTATTTCTTGAAAAAAATCTTTATAATAAACCATTTCCTGGTCAAAGTGAAGTGCGAGTGTGAGCGGTTTCTGCGGGATGAAGGTCAGAGGACCTTGCTAAAGGGAAAGATAGACTCATTTGCATAATGTTTCATCTCACATCTCTCGGCTTATAATATGAATTGTGAGTGTTAAAGCTCAGCACCTGTGGCGGGAAATGCTGATGAGAGTGTGTATTAACATGATTATTGATTCTGGCTTTTTACAGTCTTGCTAGATTGAACCGCAGCACATGTGTTTGAGGTCATCTATTCATAGATACTGTATGTAGCACATATATTTGCATTAATCATTATGAAACACAGCTGAGGTAAATCAATAGAAGATTGGCACACAAGTATATGATGAAATGCGTAATCATAATATCAGTCTACACTCAGCTGCCAATTAATGAGGTCACTCTTATTATAGAATCGAAGCATCCTTGTAGCTAACCTTTATGAAGAAGTTTTAGCAGAGCGGCACTGATTCCACTTTGTCGACTGAAAAATCTCTGTATTATGGTGTTTTGTGTTTTTGAGGTTATATGGATAAATCTGAGTGTCTTGGCTGGACCTAGTGATTTCTGTGCTTCCAATATCACGATTGCCAGATAATCAGATTCGACTCACTATAAGAAAGCAGACACTAAAAAAACTTTCCTCTTCGACTAATTTAAGTTGGTGCTTATTATTGTAGAATTATCTAGATCGGGGGTTCTCAAACTTTCACAGTGAGTACCGCCTCATAAAATATATGGCTTTTTAAGTACCGCCCTTATGACTGACATTAAAGTACAGTAGTATACGCCTATTTAACACCATATACAGTTTACACGAGACAATTTTATTTCTTTGGTCCGTTTATAGCAGCGGCCCCCAACCTTTTTTTCGCCACAAACTGGTTTAATGTCAGACAATATTTTCACGGACCAGCCTTTAAGGTGTCGCAGATAAATACAATAAAATAAAATGATACAACCAAGAAAAAAACTGTTGTATTTTGTAAATATAATAATAAATGCGAATTCACTGTGTTATTGTGTAACTTTATTAGCAGCATCCTCCTGAAATGCGCCAACAATATTGAGAGTAACATCTTCCTCCTTGCCCCTTAATGCTCTCTGGTCGCTATGGGCACGCATAAATATTTCTTTCAAAATAAGACACACAACTTCAACACGGGAAAAGACCCAGGGAAACCGAGTTAACAATAAAAACCCTAAAACCCCTAAATTTCAGACCCGAGCCTCAACTCTCGAGGCCCGGTACAAAACAACCCCCGAGCCAGTCTGTGGCCCGGGGGTTGGGGATCACTGGTTTATCGCATCC